TGGTAGACAGCCACTAGAGGTTAGGTTAACGGTAATTATTGCAATTAATTAAAAACTGCTGTACTTACCTTTCCTGGGTTAAGGGACCTGGAAATATGCACCCAGACCAATGTGTTGAAGTTTTCTTGGTGCCTGTAGTGTCCCTTTAAGCTACTTTTAAAATTTAAAATCATAATCTTGAAACTAAGTATTCTCTACACATTACCATGTGTTGATAATATCCATAAAAGCTATGAGTAGCATCTTAGGCAACTTGGATGCATCCTATTTTTATTTTAATACAGAGCATGTTTGATTTAAATCAAGTCAAGTTAAATCATTAGTTGGTAATGATTTAATCATGATTTGTAAACAGAAAGACGAATTCTTCCCGGTTGTTGTTATTATATTTAATATTTGTAACTAGATCTACAACGTGTTGAAGTATCGCAACAGAAATGATCAGTGTGTACACTCGCAGACAGCAATTGGGAGCTTCGGTGTCCCCTCTCTCCCTCACTTTCTTATATCAGCTCTCCCTGCTTTGCTCAATGCTGGATTCAATAAGCTTGAAGCGTATTTTGCCAGTTTATAAGAGAGGAACCTAATTAAAAATGCAAAGTAGGACATTCTAAAGAAAAAAGCTCCTCGAAAATGTTTGGAGTAATCCTTTTAAATAGATTTTCACTTAGATATTACAATTTTGCATTTTAAATATCAGGTTTTCTTTTTTTAAATTTTTATTTTTGTTGTGCAAAGTGGTACATATGATTGTAGCAGTTTTAGTGCAGTTTTGGCATATTTAGGCCTTGTGCTGGCAGGAGACTCAGGCTCCGCCCCCATTTAAATATCAGTTTATTTAAATAATAAATGAGTACATTTATACCATTTTACATATGAGAAAATGGCACTGATGTACAGAATGTTTGAAAAAAACTGTGAATGCACATTAGATTACTACATTTTAGAAATCCCTTTGTTTTTTTAACCCCTTAAGGACCAAACTTCTGGAATAAAAGGGAATCATGACATGTCACACATCATGTGTCCTTAAGGGGTTAAAACTGCTCAGAAATGCTTTCACAGATAATTGTGTGCTCCCACAGACTCAGCAGAACCATTACAATGAGCTGCAGTAGTAATGTTGTTTAGTGCACACTTTAAACGGACACTACAAGTACCATAACCACTACAGCCCACTCTTCTACATTCGGAACCCCTGTACTCAACATAGGATGTAAGGATGTGTTGTGCATGACAGCCAATGAGCCGATCTTGCATGGAACGGAAGCTCTTTGCAGGAGCTTCTGGTTCCAAGGGAGCATTCATCGGGTATCCTGCAGACCCCAGGTGCGTTGTCAAACCTTTTCAGAACTCCTACCTACTTACTATAACCACTGCAGCAACTGCAAATATTAGCTGTTATCTAGGAGTGTAACTCCCACCAATCTTGGAGAGACAAGCCTGAATTAAAATACGTAATATAAAATAGATCTAACCGTGTTAAAGTATATTAATGCCGTTGTGTGATACTGATGACCTTTTATAAACCAGTGTGTCTACAGCATCATGGCTTATTGTGATGTCTTCATAACCCTTATTGAAACAGTTCATTATTTATCCTTACACTCTCTCTAGAATTACAGGCTAATATACAGCTGAAGATTCGCCTAGCTTGCTGTATCCAAGAAACTGAATTTGACCTAACACTCTGTTACGTTTTTTTTTCTGAAAATAATATTGCATGCCCCAGATAAACTCTCGAGTGTATTCACTACATAACAGAGGAGACAGCTGATGTAAGAAATTGCTTTTCAACAGAACAAAGAAAAGTAATTTAAACCAATGAGGTGTATGAATAGTTTATAGGAAAGCTGCAGTGCCCCAATCATAGTAGACAGAACATAAATAAGTCTAAGCTGACTACCTAACCTTTGGATTCTACACTGCCTGGCCAAAAAGAAAGTCGCCACCTGGATTTAACTAAGCAAATAGGTAAGATCCTCCTATAGGATAGTTACTGCATGGGCGATTATCTTTCAGCTGGCAACAAGTTATTTATCCCCAACTGATACAATGTGTAAATTGTCATTTCTTAAACAACCATGTCGAAAGACGCATCCCGTGGTCGTAGAAAAGATGTTAGTCTGTTTGAGAAGGGTCAAATCATTGACATGCATCAAGCAGAGATTGCAGAAACTACTAAAATTGGGTTAAGAACTGTCCAACGCATTATTCAAAACTGGAAGGATAGTGGGGAACCATTGTCTTCGAAGAAGAAATGTGGTTGGAAAAAATTCTGATTGATCGGTGATCATTTAAAGGTTTGGTGAAATCAAATCCTAGAAAAACAACAGTAGAACTCAGGGCTATGTTTAATAGTGAAAGTACGAGCATTTCCACATGCACAATGCGAAGGTAGCTCAAGGGATTGGGACTGAACAGCTGTGCAGCCTTAAGAAAACCACTAATCAGTTAAACTAATCAGAAAAAAGGCTTCAATTTGCTAGGTAACATAAAGATGGACTCTGGAGCATTGGAAGAAGGTCATGTGGTCTGATGAGTCCAGATTTACCCTGTTACAGAGTGATGGGTGCATCAGGGTAAAAAGAGAGGCAGATGAAGTGATGCACCCATCATGCCTAGTGCCCACTGTACAAGCCTGTGGGGCAGAGCTATGATCAGGGGTTGCTGCAGTTGGTCAGATCTAGGTTCAGCAACATTATGTGCCCAAAGAATAAGGTCAGCTGACTACCTGAATATACCAAATGACCAGGTTATTCCATTAACTGATTTTTTCTTCCCTGGTGGCACGGGCATATTCCAAGATGACAATGCCAGGATTCATCAGGCTCAAATTGTGAAAGAGTGGTTAAGGGAGCATGAGATATAATTTTAACACATGGATTGGCCACCACAGAGTCCAGACCTTAACCCCATTGAGAATCTTTGGGATGTGCTGGAGAAGGCTTTGCATATTCTCCCATCATCAATACAAGATCTTGGTGAAACATCATTGCAACACTGGACGGAAATAAATCTTGTGACATTGCAGAAGCTTATCAAAACAATGCCACAGGGGGGAGGAAAGTTTGTTTTTGGTTTAGTTTTTTGTCAATAACGATGGGGCTAGGCACTAAACTTAGAATTGTGGTGTAATGACAAATTATTTAAAAGTTTAGATCAAAATAGCAGATCTGGAAAAAAATATAATTTTTTTTTCTAGGTTGTCTAATTCAGACAGCGTTAAGTTAATACATCACGTGTTTCCGTTTTTTCAGAAACTGCATGTCTGTTTCAAAGAATTAGAATGTGTTGGCGGGTTTTAATACTTACAACTCAAATTTATTATTTTCATACTACCAGGGTTATTCACGAAGCTGTGAATTGATAAAAGGAAATCAGTTTAGTGAATAAGCTAATTTATCTTGAACCAATTGTTTGTTGGGTACTTGTCAAGTGCTTGCCAGGTGCTGAACAAATTTAGTCAGAACAATTTGCCATTCTTACCCCAGCCTACCCAAACTACCAACCACAGTGAGCATCATGGAAACCGTAAAGGCACAATAGGTATTATATAGGTATTTTACAGTTAGCAAACGTCCTCCCAAATATATAAAATGGTTCTTTAGACAAAGATTTCACCTGAGGGCATAAAAGAATAAAGTGTGACATGGTGTTCATTCATTCCTGTCATCAACTGTCCATGCATTTTTTGGATGACAGACATGCTTTAAGGTATATTTATTTTCACATATTTGTTATTGCAATTTCTCAAAAGTAGTAGAACTTGTTAATGGACTTGAATTATTACAGTGTGCAACATGTCGGTTCTGCACTTATCACCATAGCTGATATAATACACTACTGCCCTGGGATTGTAACAGTTAAGTTTATATAAGATGTATTTTTAACTAGTTCGGTCAACTTGTGAACAATACTGAGTTCATATCATAGGCGTGCGCAGCCTATCACAGACACACAGACACACACACTCACAGACACACACACACACACTCACAGACAGACACACACACACTCATACACTCACAGACACACACACACTCACAGACACACACTCACACACTGACACACACACTCACAGACACACACACACACACTCACACTGACACATACTCACACACTCACAGAAACACACACTGACACATACTCACAGACACACACTCACACTGACACATACTCACACACTCACAGAAACACACACTGACACATACTCACAGACACACACTCACACTGACACATACTACACACTCACAGAAACACACACTGACACATACTCACACACTCACAGAAACACACACTGACACATCACACACTCAGACACACTCACACACTCACACACTCACACTGACACATACTCACACACTCACAGACACATACTCACACACTCACACTGACACATACTCACACACTTACAGACACACACTCACACTGACACACACTCACACACTCACACTGACACATACTCACACACTCACAGACACACTGACACACAAATTATTATATTTTAATTTTAAAAAAAAAATGTCCACCCAGCCTCCTACCTGGAGTGCTGGTGGACTTTTCCCTGGGGTCCAGTGGGGGCGGGCGCCTTTCCGCAGTTCAGCGCGCGGCAAGGGAGCTCTCTGCTGTCTGCTCCCTCTCGCCGCGCGGGCTGCCTGCTGCAGCTGGGAGCCGGAATATGACGTCATATCCCGGCTCCCGGCATCAGCGCGCGGCGAGAGGGAGCAGAGAGCAGAGAGCAGAGAGCTCCCTTGCCGCGCGCTGAACTGCAGGGTGGGTGGAATCATCACCTCTTGCCCTCCCATGACAGGGGCAAGAGGTGAAACAGGGGGCACTGAGTGCCTGCAGGAACGCTGTCCCTGCAGGACTCAAACCATAGGCGTGCCACGGGGATTAGGGTGTGCCCAGGCACACCCGGCACACCCCGTGCGCACGCCTATGGTTCATATTATTTAATACTAGTTCTCTCATTGCTAGTCTTTCATCTTGCAGGTAAAATGACTCACCATACAATACATCTTTTTCGGAAAGGTCTTCGACTTCATGACAATCCAACTCTGGTCAGAGCACTGGAGACTTCCAATATCATATATCCAGTGTACATTTTGGATAAACATTTTATGACCTCAGCAATAAACATTGGTTCAAAACGCTGGGATTTTATCTTGCAGTCCCTTGAAGATCTAAATTGCAGTCTCAAGAAATTAAACTCTTGTCTCTTGGTCATCCAAGGGGACTACCAAGAAGTGTTGAGGGTTTTTGTTCAAAAATGGAACATCACACAGGTCACTTGTGACCTTGAGATTGAACCTTATTACAAAGAAATGGATGAGAATATAAAGAAAATGGGAGAAGAGCTAGGATTTAACGTGGTCTCATTGGTTGCTCATACACTGTATGACGTCAGAAGGTATGTGTAATCTTTAAAGACAAAGATATAGTAATACATTGTATGAATTCATTTTCTTTACAAAGTATTATATGAAAATGTATCAGTATAAGCCATAGAAGTATAGCTGGAGGAACAAATTTAAGACTAGAGAAAAGGTTTACTCTCTGCCTTGTTAAATCAGGCTAAATGTACGCAGTCGTTTTACATTGCGGTGAGCAAAGTGTTTTGTTTTGTATTTTTGGTTCTTTTTTTCTCTTTTTCTCAAAAGTCATAATCTAAAAAAGATGAAAAAGTTAAATGAAAAGTAAGTCAAGCAAAAAAAAGGCGTGCAGGGTAGTTTCAATGGAGAAGAATTATACTGGATTCTGCTAATTGAATGAAAACTACAACGAAACACTATAGTACCATAATCAACAAGGATAAAACATTTTAAGGCTCAGCAAGTTCAAACTGTAACCGAGTAAACTTGCAGAAGCCAGACACAGAGAGATGGATGCAGGTTTCCAGGAAGTAAGAGGTCTTTATTAACATACCGATCGGGTCTCAGATGAACTAACGTTCCAAAACAGTTCTGAGGGCCAAACACCGGCACATACCCTTAACCAATCAGTGGAAGGATTTGGATTTCCTTATATGGGCAGACCACATGGCTCATCCGAAACAAAGGAGAAAGGAGTGTGATTTCAGTTCATGCATTACTGCACATGCTCAGTACATTGATGACAGTATCTTAGCTACGTGTAACTAACTAACTGATACAACATACACATATGCCATGTGGAAATCTCGGCCTACTAAATTTACATTTCACCGAAATTCCATCACAAAACCATTAAGGGATAAAGCAGTGACCTTGTCGGGCATCTTCGCATCTGCACCTTTACATAAAATCAAGATGCGTTTGTTTATTCATTCCTTCAAGAATTCTAATTTATGTATGGATCACAGACAGAGAGATATATATACGTAGACCTCGTAAAAAGTATATTACCCTGTGTGTGGGCTTTAATCTAACATTTGTAAATATATTTTATTTTATACAAAGTGCTATGTAAGATAGCAAGTTAGCATATATAATTGCATAATAAGTACCAAGACAAAAAACTAACAGGGGAGAACACAAAGCAAAAAACTAAGAACAGCTCTTTAAACAATATTGCAAAGGTTATATATAGCAAAGAAAGCATATTAACTTACTATGTGAAATATATAAACAATATTGTCAATGTAAGTGGAAAAATTATATATTTGTGTATAATTAGAAAAGTGACAATTCTTTTCAGCAATGTAATATACTGCTATATTGTTTGTAAATCAAAAGGTATAGCAATAGCTATGCCATATAGCTTGGAGGAAAGAAGAGACAGGGGGGATATGATAGAAACATTTAAATATATAAAGGGAATCAACACAGTAAAGGAGGAGACTATATTTAAAAGAAGAAAAACTACCACAACAAGAGGACATAGTCTTAAATTAGAGGGACAAAGGTTTAAAAATAATATCAGGAAGTATTACTTTACTGAGAGGGTAGTGGATGCATGGAATAGCCTTCCAGCTGAAGTGGTAGAGGTTAACACAGTAAAGGAGTTTAAGCATGCGTGGGATAGGCATAAGGCTATCCTAACTATAAGATAAGACTAGGGACTAATGAAAGTATTTAGAAAATTGGGCAGACTAGATGGGCCGAATGGTTCTTATCTGCCGTCACATTCTATGTTTCTATGTTTCTATGTTTCATATCCACCATGATTTCCTTGATTATTGTGATAGGCTGAGCATGTCAGCTGACCATCCAAGCTTTTCACTGCTGTTTAAATATGGATGAAATTGATATTGATATTGATAAGAACCTTTGCATTGGCAATATGGTAAGTGAGGCCCTGTCCATGGATGAAACTTGGACACCTGGTTTGACCTAAAACCAGAGAATGGAACATAAAGCCTAGCAGCACCATAATCACTGTAACCGTTGCGGTGCTTAGACTGCTTCTTTAATAGCAAGGGTCATGGAATATTAATAAATATTAATTTAGGCAACGTTATGTTAAACTCCTGTTTGTCGGTTAGCATACTGTTAGGAGTTTGAAAACCTATTTCTTAGTACCTTAGATCCATTATAGTGATATACATACAATCTTGCTAAAATTACACACACCATCTTGCCTGTAAATGGTTTTATTTTGTCTTTTGATTGATTGACTTTTTTATTTCAGAATTGTAGCTCAGAATGGTGGAATACCTCCGCTAACTTTTAAACAATTTTTACATGTACTGTCAATTCTTGGTGACCCTGACACACCAGCACGAGCAATAACTACTGATGATTTTTTGTACGTATGTATTTTCTATATCATATATGTGAAATGTGGGTATGACCTGTGTTGTGTCAAGTACAAGTAAATAGTGGCTATAGCATGCTGGGTTTCATTAATCATACAGATATATAATGTATGTATTAAAGCAAGCAAGAGCACCATGCATAACATGGTCAGATGCTTAGTGAGTGCAAACAAAGAGAAGGGTGTGTGTGCTTTCTCAGTGTTTTTTAATTTAATTTGTATAATTCCTTCTGTATCAGTTTCATTTATAAAATAAACAATTAAACTGTCACGCAAAATACTATACAGGTGGTACCTAGTCCCCACACGCCTCCATCAAAGCTACCCGAATGTATTGGATGCCTGCTTGAGATGCCAATCAAACAAAGGCACAATGTTACACACCTGGTGGCACTGCACAAAACTAAAGACCTACTGGCTAAACGTGGCACACCTGGCGCATCAATGCACAGGAATACAAATCCCATTCTAACCGGAGACATTTCTGCTTCTCCTGCCTCCGAAAGGAGTGCAGAGGATGCAACAATACCTCTTGTATCATATACTCATTGCCGCTCTCACAGTAATCAGCAGACATTGGAAAGACACAAAACCCCCCACACTCACAGAATGCATACAAACAGTAGAAACCAACAGCAGTTACGAACTCATGGCCAGACGAACACAGCCTAAGGCAGAACCCTGATGTAAAGCGTGGAACACCTGGAAACAAAACATGTCCCACACCAAGCACTTGTGAAAAGTAGAGGGCGAACCAGACCAAGCCCAAATCTCCCCCCCCCTTCCCTACATCATATCCCATAACTACTCTCCAGATGCAAACACGACCCACCTGGGGCCCGGCAGAGCCACCCCACTTGTAAACCACTCACGCCTAGCCATCTTTTAAGCCGAGCACGATCCACCTAGTACCAGTGACAAGCACCGCCCACACTACGACTTCCTACCAGAAGTAATATTGTATAAGGTTAACACTGTCAAACAATTTGGTTTTTTGGGGGGAAATGTGTGATGAACAAACCTGTTTGTTTTTTCCCCTCATAACCACCCCTTCTCTTCTGTACCCAAACAAAACCTGAAAAAAACAAAATAAAAATTGTCAAAAAAAAATAAAAAATTTTTTAATGCACTCAGTAAATTGGTTGTGGCATATTTAATGTGAAGTGAAGCAAGTATGGTTCTGGTATAAGGACCAAAATATTGACGGCTCCTTGTCAAATGTATTTTGTCAAATGTCAGGTGATTTACTTACCTTTCAGCCCCCGCCACACCAGTCTTTGTTCTCCGTGATCTCTGACTCTTTAGCTGTGATTATCAGTGTTGATGATCTCAACAAATCCAAAGCCTTCCCATGGGAAATCATTGGGGGCTATTGCTCATGCGCTGCAATACGCTAGTCTGTGCCAATCAGATGGTCTCTCTGAGACCATCTGATTAAAATAGCAGAGTTTTACTCTGTTATTTTACAGAAGCATGTCTAGTGACTGTCAGTAGGACAGCCACTACAGGCAGGGTAACCCTGCATGTTTTCATTGAGATGAAATGGTCTGTGTGCCTATAGTGTTCCTTTTACATGTATTTATTTGTTTAAAAATTAGCAATTGATGACACACAGGTTCTTGTTTTCAATTCTCAGAAAATGCATAACACCTCCTGAGGTTGCTCTTGATGAATCATATAAAGTACCCCTTCCAGAGGATCTAGGTGTGTCTAAAGAAACCTCACATATCTGGATTGGAGGAGAATCTCAAGGACTGCGTAGATTGGAACAGCATTTAGAAAATCAGGTAGGTAACCAGATACACACCTGTAAAGAGCGGGAGTGTGCGAGTTTTTATGTGTTAGAAAATACATTTAAATATATTATATTATACGCTAATGGATAAGCCCTTTTTTTCTTCTTCCCTGCTGCTACATGTATATTTGGTAGCTGGTGATTTGCTCAGCTTGTGGTGTGCTCAGCTCAAATCTGATACACATGAAGGGGCTGGGGGTTGGGGGGGAGGGGATGAGACACATGGGAGGGCGCCCAGGGTAGTTTTCACACCGGGGCCCAGTAGTTGCTAGCTAAGTCTCTGCCCACAGTTTCCGTATGGACAATGTAGATGTGACAAAAACTAGGTGTCTTTTTGCACTTTCCATACCCCGTCCCTTTTCTTCTGCAGGGTTGGATACCACAGATGAAGAAACCTCAAACAGATCCAAATAACTTTCTGCCGAGCACTACTGGTTTGAGTCCATACTTTAGTTTGGGATGTTTATCTGTCAGATCCTTTTTTCACCAGCTATCTAATATAAATGCTCAGGTAAGTGATTATATTTACCTTTTATAGAGATAATAAAGTCGGCCTTAATCAATAGTTTAGGACCCATAGTTTGTTCCGCATGCCATTTCATTGGATCCACACTAATTTGAACAGGAATATGGCCCAAGGCAACTGCTCTTATTATTATTATTACTATTATTATTATTTAAATGGCACCATCTTCCTCAATGTGCTGGCAACCCATTTGATACTGCAAGGGTTAAACATTAGGGTTCCCAGTATTGATGCCATGGGCTTTCGCAGAGGTTGTGTTGAAGGAGCTGGCTTGACATAGCAAGTAACCTTTAGGCCTGGCCTTAGTAATTTGCTAAAAACAGTTTTCTGATATATATAAAAATATATAACGGCTCCTAACAGCATCACAGATTTGTTTGTAGTTGAGAGAAAGCATTTACATTTTAGATTTTTTTTCCATTTTGTTAAAGGAACTCTCCTAGCACCATAACCACTACAGTGCGCTATAGTAGTTGTGGTGCAGGTATTGCCCAGGTGCCTTTACATTGCAAATAATAAAACTGTATTAGAACGGTTTGACTTCTTATCTGTGGCACTCTCTGCATCCACTACATCTAACAGAGAGCCAGAAGCTCCTGCTTAGCAGCTTATCTTATCTTGAGCTAAGCTTTGGCCTACTAGGCTTAGATAAGAGAGAAGCACCTGAAAATCGTTTGACACTGGAGGTCACCAGGGCACCCCTTGCACCATAACCACTACAGCTCTGTGTTGTGGTTATTGTGCTTGCATGTTCCTTTAACCTTTTTTTTTATTTAAAGGATACATATAAATATTCAGTTCTAAATTAACTAATGTCCGTTCAATTAGTTTACATTGAGACTCTTCTCCAATTCTGTGGTGGTTAAAGATCCCTGCACGTAGAAAACATTTGTAATTGATGTAAACACATCTGACAGACTCCTATTTCCTTACATTGTAAGAGTCTGTGTGCATATGTATGTGTCTCTGTGTAAAACAAATTGTGTTGAGGAGCAGGTTTAAAGGGCACCATGGGTTAAAACTGAGCACTCCTTTTTTAATGCATATCACACACAAGCTTAATTTTTTTTAAAATTTTAACTTTTTATTTTCTTGGCTATTGGGAAAATACTATCTTGTGTTTTAGGTAAGTGATGGCCAATCAGCATGAACTACTAATTCTCATAAAAAATTATTAACTAATTGCTGACAGCCAACTCTCATCATACATAGCCACATTCCTTCCCCAGTAGCAAACTGCATAAATCAATGTGAGGGTGAACACATATTTTCACCCGTTTAGGTGTACACAGACTCTGCTCTCAAACAATCATTTAGTATTGGGGTAAGGAGGTTACATAGTAGATGAGCAGCACTGTAAACACAGGTAGACATGCAGGCTGTTTATCTCTCTTTATGCCTCAGAGTTGTCATTAAGGGTAAATGAACAAAATAGATTTATAACATAAGGATTGAGTACAGCGCATGACTGACAGGCAGACGTGTAGTGATATACTTACTATATGTCTGCTGCGTGTCCTATTCCTGTAATAAAGGCTTTAGAAGTACAGCTCAGTATGTATGGAACTCAGGAAGTCTCTGCTTTAGAATTAGGGGGCAGGGCTACGTTGCAGTATTCTGCAAAAACTTTTTTCTTTTTTTTGCAAAACTGTACAGAATTGAGCAAGTAAAAATACAGCATTTTAGCAAGACCAAATGCTATCAAAAAGATAGTGTTTTGTTGGTGCCCAGAATCTTATAAACCAGAGTTACAATTAACATCTTACAATGTTGAGAAATGGCAGTAACTCCATCTTTTATTAAGGCCAAGAATCATGCCCTTCCTCCTGTATCACTACAAGGACAGCTACTTTGGAGGGAATTCTTCTACACGGTTGCATCTTCAACTCCAAACTTTACCAAAATGAAAGGAAATCCTATTTGCCTTCAAATTGACTGGTACAATGAAAAGGAAAAATTGGAGAGGTGGAAATCGGTAAGTGTTTTCTCAATATAATGTGTAATACCTTCCTCAACAAAATAAAGCCCTTAACATTTTGAGATTAAACATCTCAACAGTTTTGGGGATTTCCTCATTTCTTACACCTTGCATTTGGTCTTCATACTGGGTATACGAGAGGATCTCCCCAAATAATCTATTATGAATAATTTCTCTCTCTGGGGCTAGCAGCACTGATGGTTGTGTAGTGTGGAAAACTCAAATCATTGTTGTGTGACCGTGTGTCTTCTGTTCCGGTTTGTGGGATGTGTTTTAAAGGCAGCTTCTCAAGTAAGAGCGTGCCTATAGCTCACAAACAACTGTGTATCAGAGTAGGACGATGATAGTCTTGGCAAGGTAGATCACTGCTTGGTTTATATCACTTTGCTGCCTATAAACACTGCATGCATATTAGGGATGGGTGATTATCACGAACTCTGAACCCCCTAATTTAATTTCTCCTAGCTATGAAAACTTAGGGACACTATAGTCATCAGAACAACTACAGCTTAATGTAGTGGTTCTGGTGTCTACAGTCTTTCCCTGCAGGCATTTTGATTTAAACACTGTCTTTTCAGAAAAAAGGCAGTGTTTACATTACTGCCTTGGGACACCTATATTGGCTGTAACTCAGACGGCCACTAGAGAAGCTTCCTGGATCACTGCTCCATGCTATCCATGGAGGCACTGAACTTTTTCCTTTAAGCAATGCATCTGCATTAGCCTCTCAATGCTTTCTTTTGGGAAAGCATTGGATTGGCTGAGATCATCAATTCGGATGATTTCGTCCAAGGAGACTGGGGGCGGGGGGGGAGCCAGTGATGGCTAACCCGCACGGTGCTAGAATACTTATTCAAGGAGGGGCTGACTACCTAACAGTTTCTTAAAGGCTCAGGAATGCACATCCGTACTCTTGATCCTAGTGATTAATTTTCCCTCCCCTAAACTAATTAACCTTAATTCTCTAGGTTGAAAACCTTAAGCCTAATTCTCCGAAACCTAAACTTTATAACTGGAAACTTCATAACCGTAAACCTTTGTTTTACTCCTAACACATTAAAGGATCACTATAGGGTTAGGAACACAAACATGTATTCCTGACCCTATAGTGTTAAAACCACCATCTAGCCCCCCTGGGCCCCTCATGCCTCCATAAATATAGCAACATCTTACTGGATTAAAGCCAGAAGCTGTAGATTTGCATGCTGTTTGCCTCAAAAAAAACAAGCAGTCTGCTGACACCATCAGAAGTGGTAGCCTGATCCAATCACAGTGCTTCCCCATAGGATTGGCTGAGACTGACAAAGAGGCAGATCAGGGGCAGAGCCAGCATGATTCAATCACATCCCTGGCCAATCAGCATCTCCTCATAGAGATGAATTAAATCAATGAATCTCTATGAGGAAAGTTCAGTGTCTGCATGCAGAGGGAGGAGACACTGAATGTTTGGATGCATTTTAGGCAGTCATGACCCAGAAAGGATCTCTAACAGCTATCTGAGGATTGGCCAGTGAAGTTATCACTAGGCTGTAATGTAAACACTGCATTTTCTCTGAAAAGACAGTGTTTACAGCAAAAAGCCTGAAGGCAATGATTCTACTCACCAGAACAAATTCAATAAGCTGTTGTTGTTCTGGTGACTATATTGTCCCTTTAATGCTAATATTAAAATCCTGAAGCTGTGATGACTCTGGTGGCATAGTTGGGAGTATCACAAATACTAATCACAAGATAGACTAATTCTACATTTACATTACAAGGTGATTGGTTAAAACTTTACTCAAACTGCTGTTAAATGAGAAATTTATGTTTTGACAGAATATATGTATGTCCATATGTTTGAACGCAATTGTTTTTCCTTTTTTTTTTTTAAATGCAAAAGCATTATAGTTGTTTCTTGAGTCCTTGATATCACAGAAAACTTTGTTGTAAAAATGATGTAAAGAAAAGTAATATATAGTAGTATGCCCAGGTTAGTATTGCCATTAAATGTGATAGTAAATGAATATATAAAAACTTATGAATGTGGAAACGTTCAGCTCAACATGTATGGTAAATCTGAAGGTTTTAGAAAGCAACCTATATACTGTTCTGTTTTAGGGTCTTACTGGATTTCCATGGATTGATGCAATAATGAAGCAATTGCATGAAGAAGGATGGATCCATCACCTGGCCAGACATTCTGTAGCTTGTTTCCTAACGCGTGGAGATCTGTGGATCAGCTGGGAAGAAGGAATGAAGGTTGTCATGTTTGGTTTTCATGTTTTGGAGCTCACATGTTCCATAGGCATCATTATGTGATAACTGAATGTATGCAGTAAATCAAGGCATATTCATTATTAGATATGTAATATGATATCTCTCTCTCTCTGCTATTTCTAACTGGATGGCTGCCCACTTCCTTAAACTAAACTTGACCAAAACTGAAATTCTGGTCTTTCCTCCCTCAATTGTTGTTACTCCTGTGTCTCCCTCCCTCCAAGTCAACGGTGCTACCATCAGCTCCACCACACAGGCTCGCTGCCTAGGTGTTCTCTTTGACTCCGACCTCTCCTTCAAGCCTCATGTTCAATCAATCGCCAAATCCTGTCATTTCCATCTCAAAAACATTGCGCGCATCCGCCCCTACTTAACGCCAGATGCGACTAAGGTGTTGGTCCATTCCACTGTCCTTTCTCACCTTGACTACTGTGTAACGGATCACCTGGCACCCCGACTGGATACCTCCGTTGATGGATGCTCCTTGCGCTTCCTGAGGACTCCAAGTATTGCAGCAGACACCACAACCACCCAACCGGAGAAGCATACGAATGCTCTCAAGCATTTGAATGCTGTAAGCAGCTGAACAGGAAAAGCATACAATCAGCTTACACTCCTGGCAATCAGCATACAATCCAATTCCCCCAATAACGAGACAACACTTTGTTTTGAGGTCAAGCAGAACTGACTGTACTGGTACATACAGCCTCTTTTATTCACAATCCACAAACATAGTACTGCCCACAGGGTTTTGAAATACAACCAATCAATCCGTACAATACACACAGACACTCCCACACAAAATCCTCCCCTCTGCCTGTGATATGATTACTGAACACAATGGTTAATCGAATTATCACAGGCAGAGAAATACAGTATTATAAAACATATCACAGGGACCCCAAAACATGCAATAACCCCATAAAGTATCCTCGGAACCGGGGGATCTGGGTGAACCACATATCCAAAATTCACCCAGATCCATTCAGTAGTTTGGAAGATGCAGTTTAATGCAGATTCGCAGAACATATACAGGCTATATGAAAAATAATTACTGTATAATGTGTCCCCTGTTGTATAGTTTAAAACTACTGAACGATGTCTTCGTGCACCAAATACTGGCGAGATGGCACCATGTAGAAAAGTCCAAACAGTGTCTGTGAGTTAAAATGGCCGCCATCCATTGTTCTCACCATGTGCTTCATCCATTGTTCTCACCACGTGCCTCTGATACATGAAATGGTGGCCACCCAGTAACTCCACAGTATGTCCCCAGATGGTTCTTAAAGGGCCAGCAGCAGCATAATAAAATACAATATGCCCAAATACTGTATTTAAAAAGCCAAATCTCCCAGGGGCCATAGGCAGGAGGCGGGCAAACAGGCTTCTCCAATGCCCAGTGGCAAGGTTGGTTTCGCCACATACTGTAATCCGCTTCTCAGTGGTCTTACGTGCTCCCAGCTTGCGCCGTTACAGTCCATAATGAATGAGGCGGCGAAGCTCATCTTCCTGTCCGCCCGCACCTCCCATGCCTCACCCTTCTTTCAGTTCCTACATTGGCTTCCTATAAAATATAGACTTACATCTATCTTCTGTCCGTACTCCCACCTCTGATGCTCGCCTTCAAGATTTCTCGAGGGCTGCACAGTTCCTGTGGAACTCGCTTCCCTCCTCCGTTAGATGCTCACCCAGTCTCCACTCCTTCATAAAATTGTTAAAAACCCACTTCTTCCCAAAAGCGTATTAATTAAACTGTTAATAGCTCCTGACTGATTCCTCTTCTGCAACTGTCACTAGTCTAATACTATCCTTACCTTTTTGTGTCATTTTACCCCACTCCCTCTAGCATGTAAGCTCATTGAGCAGGGCCCTCAACCCCTCTGTTCCTGTGTGTCCAACTTGTCTGGTTACAACTACATGTCTGTTCATCCACCCATTGTAAAGCGCTGAGGAATTTGATGGCGCTATATAAATATAATAATAATAATATCTGCATTTGAATGCAACATATTTGTCAGTCTTTCCAAAGTAACTGAGACATTACTTGGTGTGCATTGACTTCTCCATACTGTATCAGTAGACAGGAGGGAAATTGATGTGATTTTTTGTCTAATGCTTATCTGAATGTACTTTTAGATTATTTACTAAAGTGTGAATTCAACGTGACTGTCAAATTTAAGGCCAGAGTAGCTGATTTATTTTTATTTTTTTCCCTTGTTGGCTATTTAGACATTAAATTTGAAAATCGCGTCAGTAAATAACCCTTTTATTGTTTTGAGAAAGTAACGGAAAGCCTCAAACTACCATGGTTGATTCTGTGGACAAGTTTGGAGATGAGTGTCACAGAAAATTGCAGGAACAACAAATTTTCTTCTTTCTTTTGAACAGATAATATAGCATGTTAGTATTTAGTAGGACATGTCAATAGTCTGCCACACAACAGACAACTTACACTAGCTCTAGAGATAGTGAGTGTTATGCTGGGCTATATCTTGCATCAACCACGTCGGCTTTACATGGAACATGACTGCTTTCTTGGTCTTATTGCTGCTGCAGTGGCATGATCTATATGTGTATATTTCTAATCAGGCTTTATATCCTAGCACTGTTGATTCGTTTGTGAATGCTACATAGACTCCTGTTGCTGCTTGTTTTAATGATATTCATGTTATCAAGCTTTCATTCACTTGTAATGTACAGCTCACAAAGAGGAGCTGCTGGTGTAGGAAAATGCCACCAATCAAATGTGTCTATCCAGGGCTAAATCTGATTGATTGCCATTAATTAGTCAAGAATTTGTATTTTTCATTTTTTGGGTGAGGAGATTAAGAATTCACTTAAATTTTTTTTTTACACCTTCTTTTGGATCACAGCAGTAACAGAGATTTGTAAAAAACTGAACGTGATGGACTTCAGATCCCCAAACTAGATTTCTATGTAATAATATAATATTTTTTGTCATCACAGGTTTTTGAGGAGTTCCTTTTAGATGCAGATTACAGCATTAATGCAGGAAACTGGATGTGGTTGTCAGCAAGTGCTTTTTATCACCATTACACAAGGATATTTTGTCCCATTGGCTTTGGAAAGCGTTTTGATCCTGAGGGCAGTTATATACGGTATGTATGTGGCTGCGGTTGTATTAATCTTCTACGTGTTACATTATTCCTGGAAGCTATATATGTTTGTATGTGTGCATCTGCAGATTTGGATTTAATGGCAAATAGAGATGGTGTTAAAACACTTGCACTCTATTAACAAACTGTCATGAAAATATTTAATGTAATAGCAACAATACCTTTCTAGTACTTTGTGCTACAGTTTAGACTGCCTCCATAGCAGTACAGAAATGTATATTTCATGTTCCTTGAATACATTAAGGTATTAAGGGACTTAAGGAACACTATAGTATTAGAAATACAAACCTGTATTTCTAATCCTAACGTGTTCCCCTACCTATTTAGATGTCGTTCCCTCACTCCCCCATGAGGGTTTAAAAATATTTTTTTCTTACCTTTACTCCCCCGCCGCATTTATATCTTTTCCAATCCAATTCTTCCACCTAGAGAAGAATTTGGCGGAATGTGCGCATGCACTGCAAAACATTCATGTTGCGACTATAGGTAATTCAGCAGAAGGGACTTTAGTGGCTGTCAGGAAGACAGTCACTAGAGGCGTGTTTAATCTTGCAGTCGTAACATTGCCAAATCTACTAAACGGCAATGTTTTCGACTGCAGGGTTAAAACTAAAGGGCCATATCATTGAGATGAAGTGGTATGGGTGTCTTTGGTGGTCCTTTAAGAATGCTTGCTAAAATGGTCATCAGTATGGGCTCCTTCATATTCTATTCACTTTGCTACAAACGTTAGCTGCTTATAACGCATTATATGCAGCATTAAACCTTATATGTTCTCTCTGCACTATTGGTAATATCTGTCAGTAGAAGAGACTTCATGATCCATGTTTAGTATGTCCATGAATGACCACCAAAGTGACTTGGAAGTGATTTTAATTATTTTTCAACGGGAAATGTCTGCTTGTTTGCAGGTGGCTGGCTAAGGATGGAAAAGGTCAGGGAAATATCCCTCCCTGAATTTCTCTCTCCTGGGCAAGAGCATACTCCTGCTACCATGACGAAGCTTTTGGTGACTTCACCTACCAGGTGCTGTTTTCACTACTGTAATCTTGTACAAGCTTGAGAGTCTAAAAGTGAGTGGAGGATGCCATTGCTTTTGTTGTTACACGCACACACTTGAGCAAGGAGGTATGACCTCAGTCATTTGAGGCTGAAAGGTGGGGCTCAGGAGAAGCCTCTACTTTTTTGTACGGATAGCAAAATGTATTGATGAAACGTGAAAAGTCTTAAAACTTTTGTGTCAAATGCAAACCTTTTATGTTCACAGAAAATATTTACCTATCCTACAAAACTTTCCATCAAAGTACATCTACAATCCATGAACTGCTCCAGAAGCTATTATGAAGCAAGCAGGATGTATAATTGGTAAATAAAAGCTAATGTACAAAGAATCTACTTCAGACAGCCCCATAAAACATCATCATATGTGGAAAAAAACAAAACAAACAAAAACAGTGCAATACCCTGCTGAAGTTTCTGCTTGTTGGAAAGTAGTTATATCCTTGATTGTGGTTTTTATGTTTTCAAGAACATGTTTGCTGTTCTTCAGTTCTAGCATTTGGCATTATTAAGGGTCTACTTAATCTGAGCACTAAACATAAACTAGGAATGTGATAAGGAGATATTTTGTGGATCTAACTGTTAAAAAAAACAAAAACCACAAGCATCATATCCACTACAGCTTCCTTTAATGATTTTGGTGCAAGCATGCCCCCTTTTTGTCAAATCGTTTGACTTCTTACCTGGGTCCACTGGGCACTTCTCCCTGCCTCCTCTATAGCTCAGTGATAGCTCAAAAGATCTTACTTAGGACCTTATGTTAGCTCTCCTGAGCTAAGCTGATTACTCTCAGCCAATAAACCCTGCACTATTGGTAGGTGGAGCAATGGACTCTAGATAAGAAGTCAAACCATTCTAAAATAGTGAGGGACACCATGGAACACCAGACACGATAACCAGTATAGCTCCCTGCAGTGGTTATGGTGCTTGGAGTGTTTCTTTAAAATACTGATAACTAGCTTGTTAACTCAGTGGATGATGTAAGTTGTATTTGGAGGTAGGTCACTACTCCCAAGTGACATATTCTATTTTCATTGGATTACAATGATTCAGATCAGTTCTTACAAGACAGAATGTTTTCAGTATAATGTTAGCTTGCATGCTCTGATGAATCAACTAAACCTGAGCTTCTTGCAGGAAAGGACTACCCTTTACCGATGGTTGATCACAGTGTGGTTAGCAAACAGAACCTACAGTTAATGAAACTGGTGAGAGAACAGCAATATAAGACAGCCCAACTTACCAGGGGTGAGCATATACAATGTGCACTTCTAGAAGTTGTAATAATAGTATAGTGCATCCATTACTGTAAAGTGTACAGTTTATATATAATGAATTCTGTTTAAACATATTGAAAAGCAATAACTGTAGACATTATTCTATAATTGAAAAAGAAAAAAGTTAGTGATCTGTACCATTATTATTTGTGCGGTGTGGAAAAAATTAAATATGCTTACCAAATTTACTGCTGATTTAATTAAACAAATATACTGATGTTTAACACTTATCATGTGGCAGGATTTAAAAAAACAACAAAAAACAGTTTATCCACAGCAACTGCGACAGACTGTGTTTACACAACACTCCTATAATTAAGCACATGATCACAAACAGCACGGTGACGCCTTTGACTTCTTGCTCTTTTCTGTAATTTATTTCAGCAGTAGGCTGCTACTTTATACAAATCTTTTCAGGATCATGTTCAGTTTAACCCCTTAAGGACACATGACATGTGTGACAAGTCATGATTCCCTTTTATTCCAGAAGTTTGGTCCTTAAGGGGTTAAAGACCACTCCGGCCACTATAACAACTTCATCACAATGGAGTTCTTATGGTGCGAGGAGGTCCTGGACAATGTTTTACTTGAAGAGGTTAAACGTTTTACTAATATTTTAATCCCAAAATCTACAAGATGGCCCCTGATTGCTCTTCCCCTGCGCATCTGCTCAATATCCAAGGCTTCAATCAGGAAGCTTCAGACCAGGCGCTGCTGAGAACAACAGCTTATGCTCTCAACCTATCTGTAGCTCCCACTTAGCAAACAGGGTGAAAGATACATATTTTGTTCAATCAGGAAGTTTCAGACAGTGAGTGGAAGTGCACGGGCAGAGACTTTGATTAACTATTAATTGTTTAACCCCTTCAGGGAAGACAGTCCCAAAGAACCCCTCGCATCATAATCACATTGCGATGAGGTTGTAGAGGTGCCCAAAGTGACCCTTTCAGTTCTAAATGGGCTAATGCCCAGCTATGTAAGGATCATCAAATTATATTAAGCAGGATTATTCACTTAAGTGTCAGTAATTCAAAGTGATTTTCAAATTTAACACCACAGTGGCCAAACTGGAAGCACATCTGACTTGGTGAATTTATCAAGCTTGGCTATATTGGTTATAATTTAAAATTAACTTTTAATTCCCATTAATGTTCACATCAGTGAATAATCCTGTAGATATCTGTCTAGTGATCAGAGAGAGAGAGAGGTTTAGAAAACTTACATCTGTACATTGCAAGAAATCCCGATGGCAAACATAATTATTGTTAACTAGAGTTTATGATTATTAGTTTTGTTCTAGTAAAGTTATTTCTACTCAGACATGTACTTCTTACCTTTTATTGTAGATATTGCAGATGATCCTATGGAAGTAAACATAAAGCACCATATTGAGCATTCACACGATAATGCCATTAATATCACTACAAAGAATGCAAGAGGACCTGGAGAAGCTTCTCTGGATCAGTCGAAGAGACAGCATGATAGTGTAGTTACATAGCTGAAAAGAGACTTGCATCTATCAAGTGTACATTCTATGGAGCCTTGAACTTTAGAGGAATGGTCGTCTTTTTGTTGGTGAATGTTCCATTTTCCCTCACCCCAGTTTCCTTAGATGTACTTGTTGCATTTTCAGGTGCCTCTAAAGCACCACTATTCGGCCAATCAGTGGCACCCCTGCCTGTCGGCACTCTTGCGCTTCCTGTAAGTGAAAATTCAGAAGTCAGATGCTATCTGGGGAGGAGTGGACATCGCCACTGAAAAATGGTTTAACCCCTTGAGGTAAGAGTGCCTTCAGGGGCCTCCTGGCACCATTACAACTTCATAAAGATAAAGTTGTTTTGGTGCCTGGAGTGTACCTTTAGTTGTAGCCACTTCACTGTTCCCCAAGTCATGTTAGTCTTTAAATATATGATGTAAGAGCAATCAGAGAGCTAATATTAGCTCACCCTTCTTTAAAGAATTACTGGTCGCCTTCATGACCACTAAAAGCAGAAGTGGTCATCAAGGATGGAATTTGTTTGTGCAGCATTTCTTGAAACACTGCACATAAAGAGAGATCTGCACTTTTGTGCTGGAGGCTAGTTACACCCCTGACATCCTCTGTTCTGGAATGCCTAATGGTAATTCTGTGCAAAAATTGCATATGGTGTTAGCGTGCACTGTGCTCTGGCAACAGATGTTATGTGATTCTACAAATGCAGGCGAGCTTTTGAGCCAGTGAGAATGGTCCAGTCAAATGTTTCTTTATGAGAAGCACATGAGTAAACCTTGGAGAGGGACGAATTGATGATGTGGGATGTCAGATTGGGCATAGAAATGCCTGAGGAGAGCATTGCCCGGCGGTGGATTAAAGGAAACATTTTTTTTTTTTATTACCCCATTTTCAGGTTAAAAAAGGGGAGTGAATAAATGTAATAGTGCACAATAGGGCATTAGAATTTAAAAAAAAATGTGAAATAGGGTTATAGTAACCCTTTAAAGAAGGATTCCAGGCATCATGCCTACTTAATCTCAATTAAGATGTTATGGGGTCTGGAAGTCCTTTAAGGTGTTATACTATAAAATACTCTTGATGGCACTTATCCTCTTGGCTCTCTATTTCCATCCCCAACTGATGGTCTTAACCAATCACTGGTGCCAATGGAAAGGCTTCTGCATCAAAACTGGAGAACAGGTACATACACTGTCACATGGCACAATACACCCCCTCATACAAACCTAGTGCCACGTTGCACAAATACACCCCATGCAAACACATTGCTGGTGTACAAGAATACACCCTCTCATACAAACAGATTGTCATGAGTACTAAATACCCCCTATACATACATACAACCATGCTACACAAACACACCTACACATAAAAATACTACCCTGTTTTAAAAAACAAAAACATGTATTTAAATTTAATCTGCATCCACACTACACACATATATTCACTTACACTAGGGCTCACAGTGGCTATACACACACATGTACACATGTATACACATATATAGACATGCAATTACATACATAGTATACATACACCAGCCTTGACTGCTCCTTTTTATAGCATGTGCATTGGCCTGAAGGGGACTTAAGCCTAACATGACCTGGGGCCCCAGACCACTGTCAGTCCATCCCTAAAACCATTTGTAAATACATTGGGATAAATTTCTTATGGTGCCGGAGTATCTCTTTAATTAAGGTTCTCAACTTTAAATTATTTATACAGTAAATATGCCAAAGTGTTCATTACACACTAATACACACTAATTCACTGAATTTTCTGGAAATTCAACAACAACAACTGAATAAAACATTGAAAACCACCTATAACTTGTGGTTTAACCTTTTCTTTCATACAATGCTCCATTTTCTCTTGAAGGTGTATTAAATATTTTAACTATGGTCGTTACAAACAAGTTCATTCCAGGCACAGCCAATGTACACATTTCATTGACAATGGAAAAAATATGATCAAATACATACAAATGGCAAACTTGGGCCACAAAAATTCTCCAACACATTTATAGTCACAGTTAGACCATGATTATTTTTGTTTCTTCTCTGACTGCAAGGTGTAACAAACAGAGTTTATAACAATGACTGACAGGGAACCAGGATAGAGGCACTTCAGTAGGCCATTGAGGTAAATATAGAGGTGTACATTTCTTTTAGATTTGTAATTTTTATAACTCTCAAACACATTTGTTAAATATAAGGGATAACAAAATACATTGAGAATTATACAAACTGCTGATTAAAGTAAATGAAGCTGAGTCCCTGAGTGATGTGTATTTGAGCAATCATAAGGAAGGCTTAGAAAAAGAGCATCACAATGGAAAAAAAAAACACTCGGTTTACTTTTTATCACCATACAGCCTCGAGCAGGTTCCCAGTGGCTCTTCATATCCCACTCTCAGCAGGTCATACAATACAAACCTTGCCAGACACTGATCCCCAAATACAAACCTTGCCAGACACGATCCCCAAATACAAACCATGCCAGACACGATCCTTAAATACAAACCTTGCCAGACACTAATCCCCAAATACAAATCTTGCCAGACACAATCCCCAAATACAAACCATGCCAGACACGATCCTTAAATACAAACCATGCCAGACACTGATCCCCAAATACAAACAGTGCCAGACACTGATCCCCAAATACAAACCTTGCCAGACACGATCCCCAAATACAAACCATGCCAGAAAGTGATCACAAATACAAACCGTGCCAGACACTGATCCCCAAATACAAACCGTGCCAGACACTGATCCCCAAATACAAACCTTGCCAGACACGATCCCCAAATACAAACCATGCCAGAAAGTGATCACAAATACAAACTGTGCCAGACACAATCCCCAAATACAAACCGTGCCAGACACTGATCCCCAAATACAAACCATGCCAGACACGATCCTTAAATACAAACTGTGCCAGACACAATCCCCAGATACAAACCGTGCCAGACACTGATCTCCAAATACAAACCATGCCAGACACGATCCTTAAATACAAACCATGCCAGACACGATCCCCAAATACAAACCATGGCAGACACGATCCCAAAATACAAGCCATGCCAGACACGAATCCTTAAATACAAACCGTGCCAGACACTGATCCCCAAATGCAAACCTTGCCAGACACTGATCTCCAAATACAAACCATGCCAGACACGATCCTTAAATACAAACCGTGCCAGACACGATCCCCAAATACAAACAGTGCCAGACACTGATCTCCAAATACAAACCATGCCAGACACGATCCCAAAATACAAACCATGCCAGACACTGATCCCAAATACAAACTGTGCCAGACACTGATCCCAAATATAAACTGTGTCAGACACTGATCTCCAAATACAAACCGTGCCAGACACTGATCTCCAAATACAAACTGTGTCAGACACTGATCTCCAAATACAAACCGTGTCAGACACTGATCTCCAAATACAAACCATGCCAGACACGATCCTTAAATACAAACCATGCCAGACCACGATCCCCAAGTAAACCGTGCGAACCGCGATCCCAAAATACAAGCCATGCCAGACCACGATCCTTAAATACAAACCGTGCCAGTACTGATCTAAATACAAACGTGTCAGATACTAGTCACAAATACAAACCTGCAGACACTGATCCCAAATACAAACTGTGCAGACCACATCATAAATACAAACCATGCCAGACACATCCTTAAATACAAACCGTGCCAGACACAACCCCAGATACAAAACGGGTCAGACACAATCCAAATACAAACCGTGCCAGAATACTGATCCCAAATGCAAACCGTGCCAGACACGATCCTTAAATACAAACCCGTCAGACACAATCCCCAATACAAACCGTAGACACAATCCCCAGATACAAACCATGCCAGACACGATCCTTAAATACAAACCATGCCAGACACGATCCCCAAATACAAACCATGGCAGACACGATCCCAAAATACAAGCCATGCCAGACACGAATCCTTAAATACAAACCGTGCCAGACACTGATCCCCAAATGCAAACCTTGCCAGACACTGATCTCCAAATACAAACCATGCCAGACACGATCCTTAAATACAAACCGTGCCAGACACGATCCCCAAATACAAACAGTGCCAGACACTGATCTCCAAATACAAACCATGCCAGACACGATCCCAAAATACAAACCATGCCAGACACTGATCCCAAATACAAACTGTGCCAGACACTGATCCCAAATATAAACTGTGTCAGACACTGATCTCCAAATACAAACCGTGCCAGACACTGATCTCCAAATACAAACTGTGTCAGACACTGATCTCCAAATACAAACCGTGTCAGACACTGATCTCCAAATACAAACCATGCCAGACACGATCCTTAAATACAAACCGTGCCAGACACGATCCCCAAATACAAACTGTGCCAGACACTGATCCCAAATATAAACCATGCCAGACACTGATCCCAAATACAAACTGTATTTACATAGGGATTAAGGAGAGAGCGCAGGTAACTTTTTCTTTTCTTTGGTTTTTACTATATATTGGGGCTGATGTGTACTGTAGTCATTGCTGCCGGCCCAGTAGTGATGGGAGTGAGCGCAGGACTTCTCTTTTTGTATTTGTATTTACTTGTATTTGTATCACACAGCCTTGTTACAATGCTGCCGCCCATCCCATGTGTTCCCTATTAAGGGTTAGTATATAGGGGTGTATATAGGGGTGTATATAAAAAATACCCCTCTCTGTCTCATTAGAGATATCTTTGCCAGAAGCTCAAGGAAGCAGGCTGAAGGGTCAGTGTTAGCACCCGCTTAGGGGGGTCTGCCTTGACGTTGGCAGGCGGGCATTCCCTCCAATGGCCATTGGAGCAACTAAATGACCTTCATTTGTCTAAATATACATAGGGATTAAGGAGAGAGTGCAGGTAACTTTTTCTCTTCTTTGGTTTTTACCAAATATAAACTGTGCCAGACACGATCCTTAAATATAAACCATGCCAGACACTG